TTTGCAATGTATTTATGATTTGGCCTGCCTAAGGTCTGTTGAATCTAGAATTTAACAAAAAAGTACGAGAGAATAAATTATATAGAGACTGACATTTTCTTCAGTTACATTAGAATATTGACCTAGAAAGAATTAATTATAACAAAGTCTTGACGCATTTAATTTCATAGTGACTAAGGTTATCTGGAGTACGAGCCAGTTCAATGATTCCTTTTTGAAGTTTGCATCAATTAATTTTTTCAGAAGCTACAAGGTATATGGTGGAGAGACATTCAAATGGATTGCCTTTTTGTAAAGTTTGCCAGCAATTAATTCATAGGCACAAAGGTTATGGTGGAGAGCAAGCTCAAAGTGGATTCCTTTTTGAAAAAGTTTGCAGGCAATTAATTTTACAGCAACAAAGTTATGGTGAGAGCAGTTCAAGTTGATTCCTTTTTGAAAAAAGTTTGCAGAAAAATTAATTTCATAGTCACAAAGGTTATGGGTGGAGAGCAGCTCAAGGGATTCCTTTTTGAAAAAGTTTGCAGCAATTAAATTTTTTCAAGGCACAAAGGTTATGGTGGAGAGCAGCCAAGTGCATTCCTTTTTGTAAAATTTGCAGCTCAATTAATTTCATAGCACAAAGGTTATGTGGGAGGCAGCTCAAGTGATTCCTTTTTGAAAAGTTTGCAGGCAATTAATTTTTACAGGCACAACAAAGGTTATGGTGGAAAGCAGTTCAAGTGGGATCCTTTTTGAAAAGTTTGCAAGCAATTAATTTTACAGGCACAAAAGGTTATGGCGTGGAGAGCAGTTCAAGTGGATTCCTTTTCGAAAAAGTTGTGCAGCAATTAATTTCATAGCCACAAAGATTATGGAGGATGCATTCAAGTGGTTCTTCGCAGAATGATTGGATGCCTGCAGTGACTTAGTTTCCGCCGGTCAACATTGACGGTACGCGCCCGTCGCTTGGGTTCTGGCTTGTATCTTCATGTCAGAGGCGTGCGCCGGGCGCATGACCTCCGCCTGGCTGTTCCCGGAGGCCTGCGCCAACTTCGTGTCCGGGGCGCGTAACGTAAGACCGGCGGCCTCGCTGGGCTTCTCTCGAACGAGGCCGATGCGACACCCCCCTGCTGCCACTGGAAGACGTCTTTCTCCACGGGCATCGTGCTACTCGTCTGGCGTGCCAGTGCGTGGCGCACGCACTTGTCTCACGCCTAACCCCTATAGTGCGTCTCAACCTTACACGGCATAGGCGTAAACGCGATATCGTTACCCGTGGCGCAAGAGACAATGATTTTGGATGCTTCAACAAAACTGTGTATATATATTA